AACTCCAATCAACAGTAGGATAGAAGCTGCTTTGAATCCCCTTCGAGGGAGATCAAGCGGGGTATAAATAATAATAATTTATTATATTATTATATAATTAATAATTATATAATAGTCATAATCATAATAATATCACATCATGATCACTATAGCAGCAGGTTTGTGTTTTTTTTAGTTTTTTTTTACAATAACTGATCTCCTACAAAGTTAAACTCCAATCAACAGTAGGATAGAAGCAGAGATACTAATCTACACCAACCTGGGGATCACAACCAGACACCAACAAAGACATCTGCCCTTGCGCTTTGCTAAACTGCTGCTGAATACACATGCCCAATGTGGAACACATCTCACCATGGTAAAACAGTGGATGTGGGTCTTAATGAGACATGCTGCATTATCAAAGGATGTCTACGCTCCACGCCACTGGAGAAATTATACTGTTTAGCTGGTATTGACCACCTGACACCCACTGAGAAGTAGCAGCCAGCAATGAAAGGACCAAATCAATGACATCTCTGGCACATCCTCTGTTTGGATATCAACCAGCACGTCAACGCCTCAAATCAAGAAATAGTTTTCTAAGATCTACAGAGATACTCGCAGGAAAACCTCAGCAAGCAAGAGTCCAAAAGTGGCAGGCTCAAACCCGGAACCTCAATCAGTGGTTGACACCAGATGAAAAACTCCCTCCTCTGGCACCATGAGATGCAGAGCTAACCTTCAGAAATGGGGCCACAAAGTGGATTCCACGACATGTGAGTGTGGACAAGAGCAAACCACAGGACACCTATTACAATGGAGCCTGAACCCTGCCACATGCACAATGGAGGACCTTCTTATAGCAACACTAAGCACTCTAAGGGGCCAGCTACTGGTCAAAGGACATTTAGTATAATACCAATTTTTTTAAATACATTACAGCTGTACCTTGGTTCGCTTCTGACATGATACATAAATAAATCTACATCAATGAGGAAATCACAGTAGGTCTCCCTGTGTGGCCAGATATTCATATGTACATCCCTGTGCTCACATATATATGTCAATTCTTAAAATAAAGTATAAGGGAGGGGAGAGAAGAGGCAAAGGAATGCTGAATTTCCACTCCTCCCGTCAAGAAATTCTGCGGCTGTTTTGATATCGTCAGCATTCTCCATTCAGACTACCACCCTAGCAGGGAATGCCAACAGAGAGAGAGAACGCAAACAGGGTCAATGAGAAATAAGCGACAGTAGGTTCAGGCTTACATTGAACTTTGCACAAAACATTTATCAAAACCTAGCAGGAGAACAAGAACAATCAAAACAAACCTCCTCCAAGTCCTGTCCAGTAATGACGACAGTTGTTCAGAAACCAAAGGTTTTGTAAACCATTTTACGCTTTTAATGCATTTAGTTTAATTTGCATGGGTGTATCATATTTCGTTTATTTAAGCTTAATTCTTGGCTATTTTTGGGTTAGTTTTATAAGTCACTAGCTGTCCCCTGCCACACGTTGCTGTGGCCCAGTCTAGTGATCTGAAAAATAAAGTAATGAGAAAGTGTTGGTTTCTTATATATGTAATTTCTTTATGCTTGTGGGTGAACAGGCAACAATTTCTTGTTGTTTCTTTGTCAGTGTTGATGTGGAGAGTGTCTGCTTTGCCCACCCTGGAACATGCAACATATCATGCCCTTCTTTACAGGTCCCTTTCAAATCTATGATACGGTATCTCTGTGTGTGAATCATATCTGTCTATCTACCTAGTATCTCTATATCTATCTATCTATCTATCTATCTATCTATCTATCTATCTATCTCTATATCTATATCTATCTATGACTGGATGGCTCTTTGTCAGGAGGACTTTGATTGCGTTTTCTTGCCCTGGTGAAGCGAGTTGGACTGGATGGCCTTAAGTATTTTCTGTTGGTCATGGGGGTTCTGTGTGGGAAGTTTGCCCTGATTCTATTGTTCGTGGGGTTCAGAATGCTCTTTGATTGTAGGTGAACTGTGAATCCCAGTGACTACAATGCTCAAATGTCAAGGCCTATTTTCCCCAAACTCCATCTGTGTTCATATTTGGGCGTATTGAGTGCTTGTGGCAAGTTTGGTCCAGATCCATCATTGTTTGAGTCCACAGTGCTCTCTGGATGTAGATCAACTACAACTCCCAAATTCAAGGTCAATGCCCACCAGACCCTTCCAGTATTTTCTGTTGGTCATGGGAGTTCTGTGTGCCAAGTTTGGTTCAATTCCATCGTTGACGGGGTTCAGAATGCTCTTTGATTGTAAGTGAACTATAAATCCCAGCAACTACAACTCCCAAATGACAAAATCATAAATTTTTGAGTGATGGTCACTCCTTGTGTTGTGAGACATTTTGTTGCCAAATTTGGTGTGATTTCGTTCATTGGTTCTTTTATTTTAAGGTACTCATTATGCACAGAGCATTTATATATATATATAGATATAGATATAGATATTGAGATGGTTTTATCCATTGTTTTTAACTTGATTTGTTGTTTGTCTGTTATGGTTGCTATTTTTGCTACTTACTGGAAACCGCCCTGAGTACCTTCGGGGAGAGAGGGAAGTTAAATCCTGACAAGACAGAGGTCCTCTTGGTCAGTCGAAGGCAGAACAGGGTATAGAGTTACAGCCTGTTCTGGCCAGGGTCACACTCCCTTTGAAGGCATAGGTCTGCAATCTGGGGTGACCCTGGACTCATCCCTGACCCTGGAACTTCAGGTCTCGGCGGTGGCCAGGAATGCCTTCACAGAGTTAAAACTTGTGCGCCAGCTGCGCCTGTACCTTGAGACATCTGACTTGGCTATGGTATCCCATGCCTTGGTCTCATCCCATTTGGACTACTGCAACACTGCCTTGGAAGATAGTTTGGAAACTACAGTTAGCTCAGAGGTGGGCAGCCAGGTTACTAACTAGGGAGAGAACCACTCCCATGTTATGGCAGCTCCAATGGCTGCCGGTCTGCTTCCGGGTTAAAAACAAAGTGCTGGTCATTACCAATAAAGCCCTAAATGGTTTGGGTCCAGGCTATTTGTCTAATCGCATCTCCCTATATAGACCATCTTGTGCATTGGGGTCAGCGGAAGAAGCCCTATTCTCGGTCCCACCCCCGTCACAAGCGCCGTTGGTGAGAATGAGAGATCTGTGATCACTCCCCATCTCTGGAACTCCCTTCCAAAAAATCTATATACTCGAGTTAAAGCCGACCCGAATATAAGCCAAGGCACCTAATTTTGCCACAAAAAACTGGGAAAACGTATTGACTCGAGTATAAGCCGAGGGTGGGAAATGCAGCATTTACGGGTCAATTTCAGAATAAAAATAGATACCAATAAAATTATATTAATTTAGGCATCAGTAGGTTAAATGTTTTTGAATATTTACATAAAACTGTAATTCAAGATAAGACTGTCCAACTCTGATTGAACCATTATTCTAACCTTCTTCAATGTAAATATGCTTACATGTCCTCCAATAATAATAAGAGTAAAATAAAAATAATAGAGTAAAATAATAAATGTAATAACAACAACAACAATAAAATACTAAATTTAATGATAATAATAACAACAACAAAGTAAAATAATAAATAATACTGACTCGAGTATAAGCCGGGGGAGACTTTTTCAGCCTAAAAAAAGGACTGAAAAACTTGGCTTATACTCGAGTATATACAGTAAATAAAAATGTAATGTTTGTGGGATTAACATAATTCAAAAACCACTGGACGAATTGCCGCCAAATTTGGCCACAAGACACCTACTAATCCAAAGAGTGACCATCACTCAAAAAAAATGAGTTTGTCATTTGGGAGCTGTAGCTGCTAGGATTTATAGTTCGCCTACAATCAAAGAGCATTCTGAACCCCACCAATGATGGAATTGAACCAAACGTGGCACAGAGGACTACCATGTCCAACAGAAAATACTAGAAGGGTTTGGTGGGCATTGATGTTGAGTTTTGGAGTTGTAGTACACCTACATCCAGAGAGTACTGTGGACTCAAACAATGATGAATCTGGACCAAACTTGGCACAAATATTCCATATGCCCAACTAGGAATACAGATGGAGATGGGGGAAATAGACCTTGACATTTGGGAGTTGTAGTTACTGGGATTTATAGTTCACCTAAAATCAAAAAACATTCTGAACCTCACGAACGACAGAATTGGGGCAAACTTCCTACACAGAACACCTATGACCAATAGAAAATACTTAAGGCCATCCAGTCCAACTCCCTTCACCAGGGCAAGAAAACGTAATCAAATACTGTTTACCCACAAGCATAACGAATTTACATATATTAGAAACCAACACTCTCTTATTACTTTATTTTCCAGATCACCAGACTGGGCCACAGCAAGGCGTGGCAGGGGACGGCTAGAAAAAATAAAAATGGCCCCTACCCTCCTCTCCTTCAAAACACTGCACTTTGGCATATGGGGGGGGGGACTACGATATTCTAGAGCAGTGGTTCTCAACCTGTGTATCCCCAGATGGCAAACTGGCTGGGATTTCTGGGAGTTGTAGGCCAAAACACCAGGGGACCCACAGGTTCAGAACCACTGCTCTAGACCAATGCCATTGAAATGCTTTGAGTGTCCATATGGTGAGATCGAGTGGGATATACACAGTAGAATAAGATTAATACATTTTAGGTCTTACTTGTCAGTTAACTCTAAAACACTTGGAACTTTCCCTAAGAAATGATCTTTCAGGAGATGAAGTTCAAATTATCCTGATGAGAAAACACTTGTTTTTCACATTGGATCCCAAACTGCAAATGACACACAACTCCATCAGTTGCACACCCAGAACCCAAGGCCCTTTCTACACTGCCATATAAAGTCCAGTTCTGGGTCATATGCTTTGATAATCTGGATTTTATGGCAGTGTAAAAGGGGCCAGAATCTGGGGCATTTCAAAGAGAACAAATCCTGGCCTGAGAGAGAAGGATGTCAGTAAAGGTACAAGCTGCACAGCCTACCTCTTCCACTGGGATGAAAGAACTTGGGCCTCTTCCCAGCGTTCGAGGGATTTTTATTCCTCTGTTCTGGAAAAGAAAAAGAAAAACAGAGAAGGGCACAGACATTATTACACACTCCAATCTTGAACACACCTAACCAGGCTCCAGTTTTTTCTCTGCTTCTGCTGAAGGCTATGCATTATAGGAACAGATGTGGAAAAGGAGGCACAGCTGTAAAAGTGAGCCAGCCTCAATGCAAATGAGTTTTTTTTTTGGTCGTGTCAGGAACGACTTGAGAAACTGCAAGTCACTTCTGGTGTGAGAGAATTGGCCGTCTGCAAGGGCGTTACCCAGGGGACACCAGGATGTTTTTTGATCATCTTTGTGGGATGATCATCTTTGTGGGAGGCTTCTCGCATGTCCCCAAATGAGGAGCTGGAGTTGATAGAGGGAGCTCATCTGCACTCTACCTGGATTCGAACCTGCTACCTGTTGGTCTTCAGTCCTGCCGGCACAGGGGTTTAACCGACTGCGCCACCGGGAATAAGCTGACCCCTTGCTACATCTGTGTGGACGCCACAGAGTCTGTGCTGCCTGATGAAAACCACAAAGTCAGTTGCAAACGGAGATGTCTTCTCACAGCAAGGTCTAGGTTTACTTCAGCAAGAATCTAAGGCATTGCATTTCTCCACTGCTCACAGCAGTCCTTTAACCTAATTTCCCTTTCTCATTCAGTAGGCCAGTGGTGCCAAAGAAAAGAGCCCTGGGTTGCAAGATGACTTAAATGAGGCATGGGCCAACTTTGGCCCAGCAACTACAACTCCCAAATGTCAAGGTCTGTTTTCCTCAAACTCCACCCCTGTTCACATTTGGACATATTGAGTATTCGTGTCAACTTTGGTCCAGATCCATCTTTTTTTGCGTCCAGAGTGCTCTTCAACTCAAGGTCAATTCCCACCTCTTCAACTCAAGGTCAATGCCCACCAGACCCTTCCAGTATTTTCTGTTGGTCATGGGAGTTCTGTCAAGTTTGGTTCAATTCCATCGTTGGTAGAGTTTGGAATGCTCTTTGATTGTAGGTGAACTATAAATCCCAGCAACTACAACTCCCAAATAACAAAATTAACCCCCCCCCCCCCAACCCCAATAGTATTCAAATTTGGGCATATTGGGTATTTGTGCCAAATTTGGTCCAGTGAATTTTGAATCCTGATCCTATATATCAGGGGTCCTCAAACTAAGGCCCGGGGGTCAAATACGGCCCTCAAAGGTCATTTACCCGGCCCTCGCTCAGGGTCAACCTAAGTCTGAAATGACTTAAAAGCAAACAATGACAACAATCTAATCTGCCAAAAGTAGGCCCACACTTCTCACTGACATACTATTGAGTTTATATTTGCTAAAATTGTTCTTAATGTTAATTATTGTATTGTTTTAAGTGTTTTTTTGCACTACAAATAAGATATGTGCAGTGTGCATAGGAATTCATTCAACTTTTTTTCAAATAATAATCCGGCCCTCCAACAGTTTGAAGGACTGTGACCTGGCCCTCTGTTTAAAAAGTTTGAGGACCCCTGCTATATATCATAGAATCAAAGTTGGAAGAGACCTCATGGGCCATACAGTCCAACCCCCTGCTGAGAAGCAGGAAAATTGCATTCAAAGTACCACCGACAGATGGCCATCCAGTCTCTGTTTAAAAGCTTCCAAAGAAGGAGCTTCCACCACACTCTGGGGCAGAGAGTTCCACTGCTGAACAGCTCTCACAGTCAGGAAGTTCTTCCTAATGTTCAGATGGAATCTCCTTTCTTGTGTTTTGAAGCCACTGTTCCGCATCCTACTCTCCAGGGCAGCCATAAACAAACTTGCTCCCTCCTCCCTATGACTTCGGATATTTACATTACGATTCATAACAGTAGCTAAATTAGTTATGAAGTAGCAACAAAACTAATGTTATGGTTAGGGGTCGCCACAACATGAGGAACTGTATTAAGGGGTTGCAGGATTAGGAATGTTGAAAAACACTGCCCTAAGGGTTGAGAAAAGCAGTATAGAAATACAATAAATACCGTATATTCCGTGGTACTAGACGACTTTTTAGGCATGTAAAACCTTATAAAATTTTGGGGGTCGTCTAGTACGCTGGATATAAAATTAAAATAATAAAATTACATAATATGGCTGCCTTGGCCTCTGGTTCCCCTCCTCCTCCTCCTCCACCTTGGCTCATGGCGGCCTCCTGGGCAGGCTCCCTGTCCTTCCTCCCTTCCTGGTTGCCTTCCTTGCACAGGCCCAGGCCTCTCCTTTGTTGGCGGCCGGACTCCTGGGGTGCTTCCCACGCTGCTCAGGCCACTCTCCTTTCTGTCCATGCCTCGTGAGAAGTGCCTTTTCTCCCACGAGATAACGTCTTGCGGGAGAAGAGGCACTCCGTGTGAGACCTGGACAGGACGAAGAAGAGCGGCCTGAGGAGCACCGGAGACCCTTCTGATCAGGCCGCTCTCCTCCTTCCTGTCCAAGCCTTGAGAGACGTGCCTCTTCTCCCGCGAGACAAGAAGAAGGAGAGCGGCCTAAGAAGCGCCTGGTTTGGGGAGTCGTCTTAAACGGCGAGTATATCCCCAACTCTCTATTTTGTTTGCTAAAATTGGGGGGGGGGTCTTCTTATAGCCCCAGTCGTTTTGTACCCCGGAATATACGGTAAGTAAATAAAGGTCTCCCCATGTATGAGCACACTACAAGCTGGCTAAGGAAATCTCTGCTCCACAAAATGCAAAACTCTGATTTAAACTCATCCTTCTTGTATTTTGTAAAGACCTCAAAGCTCACACCCAGAGAGGAAAATGAAACGAGACTTTGTGGCAGACTAACCTTTGCCACCCTTTTTCTCCCGACTCAGCAGCACCCTAATCAACAAGTCCAACTCAGCTGGAAAATGCAGCTCTCCAAAGTTGCTGACTCTGCCGGCTTTTCTCCAGAGGGGAGGGAAGGAAATAAATGCCTGCTGAAAAGTGAGAGGCTTTGCAGAAAGCAGGCTACAAAGTCTGCAACAAGTGGGGCAGGGACTGGAGGGGCTGAAAGTGGAAGGCCAGGCTTTGCGGCTGGAGAGCAAGAGGCAGCTCAGATTGCCAAACAGCTGGTTAAACCATACACCTTGCTAAATTATATTCCTTTGTCACCAGATATTAAAGCAAGCCAATCACCGCAAGGAACGCAATCACATCTCCAGCTAGTGTTATTGTGCAATGGCTTGAGCTTCTGGAAAGTCTATTTAAGATCCTGATAATAAAACCACCACAGATGGTTATTACACTTCACATATTGTTATTGCTTTACTACATTATGACACGTTAATATGCCACTCATTTGGGGCATTTCTTGACAACCTCTGCTTTAAACAGCCACTCGCCATCTGTAAACCAACACAAGGCTTTGCCTCAACAGACTATTCTATTTACTAGGCTGGCATTGCTGACAAGGGATAGAGAACGGCTCTCCAAGGTTTTAGATAAGACTCGTTTCAGCCCAAATTGCATGTAACTTAGAATGCCTTGATAACCAGAGCACTCTGAGTGATGTACAATCTATATAAATAAAATTGTAATGCTCGTTTGTGGGATTAACAGAACTCAAAAACCACTGGGCGAAGTGACACCAAATTTGGTCACAAGACACCTAACAACTCAATGTATGTCCTTCACTCAAAAAAAATTGATATTGTCATTTGGGAGTTTAAGTTGCTGGGATTTATAGTTCACCTACAATCAAAGAGCATTCTGAACCCCACCAATGATGGAATCGAACCAAACTTGGCACACAGTTCTCCCCTGACCAACAGAAAATACTGGAAGGGTTTGGTGGGCAGTGTCCTTTGGTTTTGGAGTTGTAGTTCACCTACATCCAAAGATCACTGTGGACTCAAACAATGATGGATCTGGACCAAACTTGACATAGAATCTTGACATTTGGGAGTTGCAGTTGCTGGGATTTATAGTTCACCTACAATCACAGAGTATTCTGAACCCCACCAATGATAGAATTGGGCCAAACCTCCCACACAGAACCCCCATGTGGGCCACAGTAATACATGGCAGGGACGGCTAGTCTATATAAATAAAAATGTAATGTTCGTTTGTGGGATTAACGTAACTCAAAAACCATTGGACGAATTGACACCAAATTTGGACACAATACACCTATCAGGCCAACAAGTGACCATCACTCATAAAAACACTGAAAAACACAGTAGAAGAGACTTAAAAAGAAAAAAAATGCATTACAATGCATGCACAAAACCACATATATACACAAGCACACATATATACACAAATATATACCCACACACACACAAAACACATATACACGGACTGGGCCACAGCAACGCGTGGCAGGGGATGGCTAGTATCAAATAAAAATGCAATGTTCGTTTGTGGGATTAACATAACTCAAAAACCGCTGGATGAATTGGCGTGAAATCTGGACACAATACACCTATCAGGCCAATGAGTGACCATCACTCACAAAAAACACTGAAACACACAGTGGAAGGGACTTAAAAAGCCAAAAAAGCAAAAAGATGCTACAGTGCATGCGCAAAAACAACTCCCCCTGGGAAACAGAGCACACAATAGTATATCCACACTCTCTTCCGGACTACAGCTCCCAGCATCCCCTAGACCAGGCCCTTTAGAAGAGGAGGATGATCCAAAAGCACTGCTTCCAAGTTGCAAGCCTTCTTTTCCTTGGATTTCTTTGAGAGCATCCCAATCCCTGAATATTTCCAATTTCCTATTCCTGGACTGCAACCGCCAGAAATCCTCCATATAGATAGATTAGATAGGTAGATAGATAGATCAGGAGGATTGTAGGGAGTTGCAGTCCAAGAATAGAGAAGGAAGAAATGGGAGAAAGAGCAAGGGAAAGAAAAGAGGAGAAGGAAGGAAGGGGAGAAAGAAAGGAGAGAAAGAAAGAAGAGAAAGAGGGAGGGAAGGTTGACCACAGCAATGTGTGGCGGATGCAGCTAGTCTATATAAATAGAAATAGATAGATATGATTCACACACATACACATATATGTATATGGCAGATATAGTA